TAGGTTGTGTAGGGCCTTGAAGGCCATTTTAAGAATGCTCGGTTTTACTGAGTGAAGAGGGGAGCTTTTGAGATGCTTTGAACAGCGGTGTGACAGTCACACCGAGGTGCTCGAGGTGGGCAGGGCTGGAGCAGGAGACCAATCAATGGGGCTCGCCAGAGAGGCGAGAAATGGTCAGACGGAGGAATGACCTGCTGGGTAAGAGGGGGCGTGAGAGAGACATGCAGAGTAGCTATAGAACTAGGCTTGAAACGCCAGAAAGGTGGAGTTACCCTCGGCTGATGTGGGACACTGGGTAGGGGGCATGGGGTGGGATGGGCAGGATCAGCCTTGGAGGTGACGTCAAGACAGTTGGCTGGCCTCCAGAGATGCCTGATAGGCAGCGGGTCCAGGAGAAGGGTGATGACAAGGGAAAGCCCAGCAGAGTGAAGGTACGCAGGGCAGAGGTGCCCACCAGGAAGACGTCAGCGGTCGAGTAGGGAACCAGTTCTCAGGCTGAGGAAAAGCCCTGGAATGTTCCGTCAGCCAGGGGAAGTGTCGGGGAGGGTTGGACCAAAGGGGCAGCCACTGCCCAGATGAATAAGATGAGCATGAGGACTGTTGGCTGCAGCCACAAGGAGGACACTGTACTGTGTTCCCTCCCCTCGGGCTCACCCAGCCATTGAGATGACTCAAGCTTTAGAACCTGTGGCAGTATGTGGTATGCTTCGTTTTACTCCGTAACAACTCACTTTCAGGATTTTCCTGGTTGTTCTTTAATGTTTATTTTTCCAGATGAATTTTGGAATCAGGTTATTTAGTTATTAGGTTCCTATTAAATCTAATTCCTACGTCTGTAACAGTGTTTGTACTCAGGATATCTTCCCAGAAGGAGACAGCCATCAGTTAAATCAGTGGTTCTCATTTGGGGGGCAGGGGGCACGGGCAGTTCCTCCAGGAGACATTTGGCAATGTCAGTAGGACATCTGATTGTCACTACTGGGCTGGACCTAGCGAGAAGAGGGCAGGCATTCTGCTAACCCCCTGTGCTGCCCACGCCAGCCCCCAGCAGAGACCAACTGGCCCACAGGGCCGCCAGCACCGTGTTGGAGGAGCCGGCCTGCGGACTGCTTGTTCTTGCTGAGTGTTGGCTGTTTCATGGCATTCGGCCTTTTCAAATGCTCTGGAAGACGTCTAGCATGTGGACGTTTTCCACTCTTTTCAGCTCCCTAGGTTCTGACCCCTTCTTGTATGTCAGGGATCACACTGGATGGTGCCAAGGTGTCCAGTAATGTCATAGAAGCAAACAAGCGGTATACTGATTTTCACAGCTCCCTTCCAGCTAAACTGCAGGTGAGGAGGCTGGGGCCCAGGGCCCCCTCACCAAAGGCACCAGGGGTGACCACGGGAGGCCTCCGACATGGGCGGGGGTGGGGTAGGGGGCTGCAAAGGTTCTCAGATGCAGGTCTCTGTGGCAGCAGCCGGCGACCTGGGCACACTGTTCTGAAGCCAGGTTTTGGGCACTGCTGCTGACTGGCTGGCACTAAGCCTCTTCAGCTCGGTTATTCTGTGGGCTTTTAAATACCTGTTTGACCAATTCCCTTTTCTTTCCCACACTGTGCCTGTTTCTGTTGCCTGTCACCAAGAATCCTGGGTGTTACAATGGATTCATCCCATTGTGAGAAAGAGCAGAAGCCGGTGAGATTTCCCACACTGATTTATGAGAATTTCTATCTTTTCAGAAAAGGGAAGGATGCAATTTTCAGTATCAAAGTATAGATGTTTCCTACCCCGAACACCTAGGATGATAAGACATTGATTGTCAGGACTGGGAAGAGGGAAGTCCTACATTATGAGCTTTCTTTGGTATCAGTCTGAGAGTAACAACTGGACGCATGACATAAACACATCATGGAGCTCGAGTTTAGAAGATGGCTTTAAGACACTGGTTACTTTTGCCTTAATTTTAGTTATTTAGGAGGGAAACGGTGTGGTGATGTTCAATAACTTGGAATTGTTTGACAGAGTCTGTGGAATCTATGTTGAACCCAGTGTCATGCAGAGGAAAGAAGCCAATTTATCAACAGAACTTCTGGTGGTGGGTAAGGGTGGTAATAGGTTGAAAGAGGGAAAAAAAAAAAAGGAGAGGAGCACAGTTAAATGTGCATCTTTCTTCTTCCTTGGAAGACAAAACTGTTTTCTTGTCGAGTAAGAAAGGACATACCACGCGTTCCTCTGGCTCTGCGCGCCCCGCAGTGTGCCTTGCCCCTTGGGGAGCAGGGCAGGCTCAGGCCTGATTTTCCGCACACTCCCTCCCCTGCCCAGTGCCGGGGCTGCATCTTCTCCACCTCCCTCCTTGCAAGTCCCTGTCCTTGACTCCTCCATTCAATAGAAAATGTGGCTTTTTCCCATCCCTTGGATGCTTTCCTGTCTTGTCCCAGCACCCTTGTCCCACCAGTGAGACATGGGGCCAATGACCAGAGCTGGCCCCAGGAACCCCTCAGGCAGGGGGCTTCTCCAGAAATGAGGCTCACCTGCTTGCCATCTGCATTCCTAGACACTGTCTGCGTGTGGTAAGAGGCACCCCCGTCCCCGTCCCATGTCAGGAAGCGGAGTGACCATCTGGAAAGCCCAGTATGCTCCCCGGCCCCAGTAAATCAGGGCTACTCAGGGCCCCGCAAGCAGCCACAGTAAAGCACATGCCACCAAATGGAGCCAGGTCGAGTCCGTCTCTCGGGACTCCGGGCTGGAGCGCAAGGGGCCAGGAGTCTGGGAACCAGCAGAGCGAGCAAGGTGGCGTGGGCTGTGTTCGTGGAACAAACTCTGTCTTCAGACATGGGGCAGAACGGCGTCCAGAACATGTCAGTTTACACTAAGTGTTGATGTTTAACTCAGGCTTACGGAGAAAGGTGTGTATGAGGTTCATTTGGTTCGACAGGCCCCTGCCGGCTCCCTTCTTCCTCAGCAACGGACCCCCAGGTTGTAGGTATCGGGCGGGTTCCAGGCCCAGAGGATAAACCCTGTCTGTCATTCTCAGGGGCCGCAGCCTAAAGCCTCTGGTGCTACCAACCCCGCCGATGTCACCAAGTCCTGACCCTTGTGTAGCCTCGTGTTAATGGGCGCTCAGTGATGCCTTTTCTCCCGCTCGTTTTTGACTCTGTCACCTTTGATTTACCTCTTCTTGGGATAATTCCACATATTTTCTACAGAGAGAAAAAGATAATTCAACCTTTTCTCCAGCCTGCTCAGGAGCTCGTGCAGCTGAGGCTTCCCAGCCGCCCCTCGGCTCGGTGGAGAGCCCTGCCCGTGCTGCTTTCCCGTTTCCTCCCCTTGTTACCACCTTTATCAAAGTGGGGAGGGGCAAAGGGAGAAAATAAAATTAGTAAACAGCCAGTGCCTATTATGTCCTTGATGAAAGTCTTCATAGGGCTTCTTCACTCGAACAAAGGAACTGCAGGTCTGCTAGAAACTCACTGGGAGAAGCTACGGTTTTGCCAGCTCAGAGTCTGCTCAGTTGCCAACTCCAATGTCCAAGGCTTGGGAGAACTCAGAGGCTTTGTAAAGAAATTCAGAGATGCTAAGGAAAGGCTGAGGTATGGCCAAGACAGGAAAGAATCTTCCAGAAATGCACCTTCAAAATCTGAGGTAGATAATCATCTTTATTGTTTGCTGTGAATACAGTGTGAATGGATGTCCGTGTGGAAGCACACCCCAAAGGGGGGTCCATTCCTGGTGGGCGTGTGCTCTAGGAATGCCTGCCACCACACTGAGCCCCTTTCTCATGTCCACAGATGCTGACGGATCAGCAGCTTCCGTGGCAGAGCCAACATATGAGAGGCGTCCTCAACTCCAGGTGAAGCATATGGAAGAAATGAGGATGATGGCAGTTGTGAGACGACAAGTGTTTTAACAGTACACCTTTCATACTGTAACACCTCTCAAAAGGAAGGCTCAAGTCAAATGTTACTAGAATTTTCCAGTTCTTCAAGTAGATCCATATACCAAAACAAGCATTTACCCTAACCGCTTGACCACCATCTAATCTGACAAAACTTGACTCATACCTCAAACAGGAGCCAAGACTGAGGGAGACTCAAGAGATTACTAATACACAAATCCATGTGAACATAAAAGAAAGTCTTGCATCACTTGACAAACAATATACAGAAAAGAGAATACAATTAATACAACTTAAGACTAAGCCTGAGAAGAAAAAAGAATCTTCAACTGATGCAAAATAAATATTAACCTTGGCGCTAGTGATTATTATAAATGTCCACCTCCATTTCACTTAACAAGATAACTGATACATAATCTTTTCTGATGTTTCTAGAACACAGCCTGGGCCCCCCGTCAGCCACCTCTGAGGCAGTGTGAGGCCCTCCGGTAGCAGTCAGTGTTTAGCGAATGACAACAGAGAGTCAGCACCGACCCTGGCTCCACTGCTGGGCTGGTACCTGTGCCCACCACTGACCGCTGGTCCCCGTACTTCTACTTGCTTCTGTCCCCTGGGCTTGCTCTGGGGCTGCCCGAGGGAAACTCTCCTTGCTAGACAATTTCTTAGGGAAGCAGGAAAGTGTGGCTTTATCACAAATCCCTGTGGATTAAAAGAAACACCAATACCAATTACCTAACATCTACAAAACAGGTCTGTGGAAAAGGGCTAAGTTACTTTCTAAACTGACCAGTGGTTCATGACCAAGTTCTTGGTCCAAAGACTTTGAAACGTTCAAATAATAGTCATGCATCTTGGTTCAGTAAGAGGAAAAAAAAAAGAATTAAAAATCTGTTCTCTCATCAGAGCCTTTTCTTCAGTGATTCTCTAACTGACATCTGGGCCGAGCAGGTAAAGAGAATGTTAAAGGCATAAAATCCAGTCATTAGTAAGTCTGAGTATGGGCTAAAAAATCTGTCTTCTCATTTTGTAAAATATGTACAACAGGAACTTGCCAAGATATTTATGGCTTATTGCCACCAGTCACAGAGGGTACCCGTTCCCCCCAAGAAGCAGGCCTCTTGTGTCAGCCTGTGGCCCCAGCAAGCCCAGGCTGTATGGCAGCCACGCGGTCAACAGGCCTGTGCTCGACTCGTGCGAGCAGCTCTGTAAGGAGCTCTCTGGCCAGTTTTCTTGATGCCGGGGCTTCCATGCAAAGATGATCCCATCTGTATAAGGTCTGGTCCAGGAAGCCAATAATCTCATGGGTTATCTCATCAGTCTGAGCCATCTGCAATGAGGACAGAGAGAAGCCAAATTAAAACAGTTTCCAGACAGACCTATCTCTTTGTCTGGGACCAACCGTAACCACCCTGTCCCAGAAAAGCAGCTGCATTCCTATCCGCTCCAAAGGGCTTCTGTAGTTTTCAAGACGACCAGCAAAGAAAGCCGGTCCTCAGAGGCTGGCCATCCAGGGAGCAGAGGCATTCCTAAGGGTCTCCCTCTCCTGACAGGATGGCTACAAGCAAGCAGCTCATTTCCTGGAATGCCACTCATGAGCTTTGGGATTACTTGTGGGGGGAGCACAGGCAAATAGATGTGCTGGGCCTTGACTTTCTGTGAAAGGCTCAAGCTAATATGAGAACTGGAAAATATAAAAGGGAACATGCCACCTGTTTTCACACAAACAGCTTTATAAATGTCATTCTTGGGCCAGGAACCAGGCCCACTTGTTTTTTAAAGGCATCTAAAGTTTTAACACCTGATTCTCAAGGGAAGTAGGAAACACAGGGATCATTAGTTCTGCTAAATACAGCCTTGAGGGATTCTGAGTTGTTGGTGCCCATAAGTATTTTCCTGAGAATTTTAGTTCAGCAGAAAGGGATGGGCAAGAACCTCACAACGTAGCTGCACAAAGGATTTATTGTGATCTTTTTAGATACAAGCTGCATTAAGTTGTCCAAATATGTACAGTAATCTACATATGTTTGTGGGTATCAGTTTATATTGAATCCTTAACCAAATGTTTAAGTAGCAATAGCAGCCTGAGGGACGGCTTCCTCTTCATCTCCACGTGGGGCCCCTCTGGCAGGTAGACCAGCTTGGTTCACCGGGGACCACACCACGGCCCAGGAAGCCCACTCTGCCTATCCTCAGTCAAGGCCAGCACGCTGGCAGCATGTGTCCTGGGCGAGCACAGTACAGGGAGCGGGGGGCACACCTCCGCAGCATTAGCCATCTTGGGCTCTGCTGGAGGGTGGGGGGCAGGCTGCCAATGCAGGTGGCGTTCACTGTGGCTCTTGGTATATCTATCATCAACACTTGGTTTTTATGCAGAAATCACAAATGCTGTAGATGGCTTTCGATAGATGCCGTCTCTGTTCTTTGTGGATGAAACAATGTAAGCCTCCCCAGGGGGGGCTGTGGAAGAGCTCACCTACTATCTAGAACTTGAAGCGGAGCACCCACCTCCTGCTCCACCACCCAGCGATCCCAGGGGCTCCTCCACCCTGGGGGCCGGGAGGCGGGGAGGCATGGCCACCACAGACGACTGTGGTGGTCACCAATCTAACTACACATCGTCTTTACAAGCCAACTCAACCCCACCCTGTTCCACTCAAGGTCTCTAGTCACAGACAGAAGCCTGCCCCCCTGCAGCTGAGGTCAGAAACTCATACCCTGGGAGGGCTTGGCTGAGGCACATCAGTAAAGGGGTTAGGTTCATTTTGAGTTCAGCCACTGGAGAACTAAATTCCGTGTTTCAGATTCTAGCTAACTTTTGGCTGTTATTTTTTTGGTCCAGCAACCAAAGACAGAGGAGTGGGAGACAGAAACATGAACTCAAAGCAGGACAGAAGGCAAGAGAAGATAAGCCTCAGGGGCAGGAGGAATCCAGGCTGCTCTTGCCTCATCCCAGTCAGCGGGGCGGAGCAGAGGACAGAGTGGACAGAGAAGCAGAATGAGGGGTAAAAGGCATGGGAGTTCTGATGAACGAGTTTGGGGAAACTCTCAGATCGAGACTGGCAGAAACTGATCCCTGGGGACTGTGCGAGGAGCTGGAGGAGGCAGTAGGCTGGGAACATTCTATAGGAGAGCCCAGGGTGCGAGAGGGCAGAGGGGATGGAGGGAAAGGGCCCCTTTAATGAAATGGAGCCCCTCAGTAAGGCAGAGCCCACTCAGAGAAGGTATGGAAGGAAGGCTGTGAAGAAACAGCATTCAGACACACAGCCCCTTCTATCTGTGCCCCAGCGTGGAGCATGCACAGCTCCCCAAAACTGATGCTGAGACAGAGGGACAAGCCCAAGACCCAGGACCCAGCTGGCTCTGCTTGGGCCTGAGTTTACATCAGAGCTCAGCCACGGCCCAGGTCCCCAGGGTGGTGAAGCCAGAGCCGCTGACAGAAACAGGCTGTCCCACCAAAGCCAATACTTCCACCATGTGGCCAACTACCTGCTCCCAGGTCCAGCAGACCTGGCTCAGGACTCTTTCCAGGGTGCCACAGAGAGGGGAGCAAATGAGATGTGGAAGGTGAGGAGAAGCCCAGGCAAGGTGGGCGCTGCGCTGAGGACCGCCCCCTCCTGCCCCCCGGCCTGTCCTGTTTGTGGCTGCTCTAGGCAGGCTGCCACCGGCCTGTCGGTGGCCACCGCAGGCCTTCAAGCGAGGAAGGCCGGTGTATCAGTAAAAGCAGTTTCAGAGCATCTGCAAGGACAGGCCCAGGAGGCTCCTCGGCTGCAAGGGGCACCTTGGGCATGGCAACCACCCACTTGTTAAGAAGCCAGGGTGTGAGGAGAAAGACTAGCATTTTATCCTTCAATGAATATTTTTTCCCATTGAGCTGACGTACAAAATCTGATGAGGATGCACCAGGGTTTTCCGTGTTCCCCCAGCCTCAGGTATGAATACGTGGCTAGGACTGAACTGTTCTGTAGGGATGGGCTGCCTGGCACATGCAGCAACCCTGAACTCTATGACAGGGTCTAGCTCCTTACTCACAGCAGTTTCTTTGTAGGTGAGAGCTGAGGGTGGTCCATTCGGAATGTGGCTGTTAGCCTGGAATGGATGGAAATGTGTTGTTGGACTAACTGCAACAGAGACCAGGGTGTCTCTGAGGAGCTTTCTGTGGGTCATGCTCTCTCACACCCCATGAGCAGGGCCTGGCCTGCCTATTCGCTCTCGGACGACAGCCCCAGAGAGGAGCAGACAGGAGCCCCGAGGGAGAAAGAGGGGCAGGCCCCCACAGGTATCCAGGGCATGGACTCAGGGTCAGAGGTTAGGTGACAAAAATGCTGCCAACACTTTCATGATTTAAAAGTGCCTGTTGTTGACTTTTAAAAATAACTTCATTTTAAAAGTTTTAGATTTATAATTTTACTGAAAAGATAACACAGGGAGAAAGCACATCCCCCACATCCATTTTTCAGGTTATTAACATCTTAAGTTAGTGCGGTACATATTTCAGAATTAATGAACCAATACTGATATTTTTATTAACTAAAATCCATACTTTATTCAGATTTCCTGTTTCTCCCTAATGTACTTCTTTTGTTCCGGGATCCCATCCAGGGTACCACACTATATTCAGTCATCATGCCTCCTTAGGTTCTCAGACTTTCCTTGTTTTTGAGGATCTGGACAGGTTTGAAGAGCACTGGTCTGGTATTTTGTCAAATGTCCTGCAATTGGCGTTTGTCATTCATTTTTCTCATGATTAGTTTGGGTCATATCAAGGGTTCACACTGTCAATACAACTCATCCTATTGATATTGACCTTCATCACCTGGCTGAGGGAGTGGCTGAACAGGGACTATCGGAACACATACCTGGCAGAGATAAAGGTGGTTGGTACCATACTTTACAGACTCAGGGGCATTTTTTAGCTCTCACCGGTAGCGTTCTCCTATCCCAAAAGGGTGTGGAAGTAAGTGAGGTATACGCTTTATAAAAGTACACAATAGGTCATGGTTAGGGTGGCCCCTGAGGATATGGCGCCCCGCACACGACAAGCAAGTCCTCTTCTGCTCTTGGCCATGTCCAGGCCCTTGGGTGGCTCCTGTCTGAGCACATGAGAGGTAGGCCTGCCCACTCCACACAGACCATTTAACGAGGACTAAGGAGAACCTTCTAGGTGCTGGTTTCTGGGGTTCTTGGCAGCCCATTTGTTTCTGCGCCTTTCCTCATTCACATGTTCACATTCAAACAGAGCCTTCCCTGGAAGGGAGCAGGAGGGGCTTCTGGGTGCCGGGACATTCCTTTCTTGATTTGACTGTTGGTTGTATGCATGTTTTGCTTTATGAAAATCCGCTGAGCTATACGTTTAGTTATGTATATTATATGGCAATAAAAAGTAAAACACAGAAATAAAACTTCCAGAGCCAGCATATTGGTGCTTTTTTTTGAGGTTAGCGTTTTTAATTATAGTAAAAATAAGCATAAAATTTGCTATTTAACCATTTTAAAATGTACAATTCAGTGGCATGAAGTACACTCACAACGTGGTGCAACCGCCACCATTACCCATCTCCAGAAGTTTTTCATCACCCCAAGCAGGAACGGGGTGCCCATTAAAAACTAACTCCCTGTCCTGCCCAATCACATCTAGCAGAGCGACCTATTACGTACTTTTAGAAAATGCAGAACACACCCCCCCAGCCCCTGGATAACCCCTGTTTTACTTCCTGTCTCTATGAGTCTGCCTATTCTGGATACTTTACATAAATGTAATCATACAATATTTGTCTTTCGTGACTTGCATAGACCACATTGTGTTTATCCATTCACCTGTTGATGGACATTTGGGTTGTTTCCACCTTTTGACTGTTTGTTTATAACAGCATCCTAGTGGGCATGGAGTAGTACCTCACTGTGGTTTTGATTTGCATTTTCCTAATAGCTAATGATGTTGAGCTTTTTTTCATGTGCTTATTGGCCATTTGCACATTTTGTTTGGAGAAATGCCTGTTCAAATCCATTACCTGTTTTTGAATTGGGTTGTTTTTCTGTTGTCGACTTCTAAGAATTCCCAATATAGTTTAGATACCAAACCCTTATCAGATATGTGACTTCCAAATATTTTACTCCATTTTGTTAATTGTCTTTTCACTCATTTGACTGAGTTCTTTGATGCACAGCAGTTTTTAATTTTGAGGAAGTTCAATTTATCTATTTTTTCTTTTGTTGCCTATGCTTTTAGTGTCATTATCCAAGAAATCACTGCCAAATCCAATGCCATGAACTGCTCTTTACCCCTCACGTAGCTGGGCTTCCAGAAGGGTTTCTTTGTAATTAACAAATGAAATTCTCCAAACCACTGCAGTGAGCACATTTGCATTGTGGCCTTGTTCCTCCTCATGAGGAGGAAGAGAGTCATACATTGAGCTGAAAGAAGAGTGACTGGGGAGAGAGGAAACCTAGCTGTTACTATGTGCTCTGGTAGCAAGCCGTGTGACCTGGGAGAAGTCACTGCCTGTCTCTGAGCCTCCATTTTCTCTTCTGTGACATGAAGGTGTTGCACGGGGCAGGTTCTGGGGTCTGTCCCAGCTGTCTACCTTGCTATCTGTCCATCCAGGTTTCGACAGCATCCTGGTACATATACTCTTCAAAGGGTGGGCCCTTGGCTGACATGAATGAAAATTAGGATGCTAAAAAAGGGGACACTTACAAGGCTGATGACTTCCCGGGCAACTGCATGTCCCCCAGGAGCCCAGAGGAGGACGTTCAGGAGGAGATGCCTGATCAGCCTTCTGCACGCAGGTGGCCTGGGGTCTCTGCCTCGGCTCTCTTCAGCGGCTGCCTGCAGATCCCCGGCCGAGAGGGTTGGACTTCTGAGCAGCTTCATGAAGTGGCTGAGCACTGCTTTCACCTCTGCCTGGGAAGTATAATTTCAAAGGAGAGAGATTAAGAAAGAGTTGGGACCCATACAGTTTTAGGGTTTATTCGGGACTTTGAAGCAACTCGCCAAAAGAAGAGAGGACGAGTGCCCAAGGGAGGGCAGGCAGAGGCAGCCCATGTCTGGGCTTACACACTGCTCCACATAAACCCAACTGGGCGTGATGGAATTTTCTTGACTTTCTTTCGTCTTGCTCACTAAGCAGCTAGGGCACCATGCCAGGAATTGACCTTTTCTTGTATGAAAGGAAATGGAGAAAAGTCCTCAGCAGAATGTAGTCAGATTTTTATATTGTGGGGAAAAAGAACAAAAGGCTCCTTGAAGACTCACTCACTATCACAGCCACAAATCAATGAAAGCCCCATGCGATCAGGCCTCCGCTGAGCCAGTGTTCTGATAAGAATGAGGTTTTCCTTTTGCTATCTTTGGGCGCGGGTGGGATTGTGGGGAGAAGAAGGATGGACACACGTGTGCGCGCACGCGCACACACACACACTTGCTTTGTTTTAGACACTGGGATAGTCTGTTCATACATGTTTAAAGCTCAAGCAGGGGTCACAAGTCTGTGAAATCCACACAATAATGGTAACTGTTATAAGTCTGCTGTTGTTTTTACATTAAAAATATTTACTTCATGCTGAGACTTCTGCTTGCTATAAGAATGGTGGATCAGTTGTAAGTTGGAAAACAAAGCAAGAACTGAAAAGTCACAGGCCCAGAATGCCACATGGAACTCATGAACAGCAATGTTCCATCGTTTTTGAAAGAACACGTAGGCCTATTCTGAGAATTCCCATGACCAATTTTATGGATTTTGTGTGAGCTTTTTTTTTCTGGATGTTAAAACCTCCTTCAATGAAGTCTCTCATAAACCCCATTACACTAGGAGTGCTGTGTGAACTGTTCTGAGGGTACAAGACCGTGAGAAACTGCACAATGGGGCCCTTCCATGGAGAGTGGCAGAGTCCCAACAGGAGAGGGCCGCCCTCCTGACTGCTCTGTTGGCTGGCCCAGCTGCTCCTCATCTGATGGCGTCCATGGGAGCACACAGGTGCCATCTAAGTGGGCTTAGGAAGCTATGACTTCATATCCATTTTCTTCTTGTCCAGTATTCTCTGAGACTTGATCTCCTTCCTTTCTCTTTCATCTGAGACTGTCTTTCCCTTCAAATGCCTTCCTGACATGCCAATAACTAAATGCTTCCTAATTTTTTCAGAAGATATAAACTTTCTTTTGTATTACTTTTTATTATGCAGCATGAAAATTTATATATGCTCTCTGTAGAAAATCTAAACAAAAAAGTAAAATGAAAAAAAATTAAAATGACCTATAACTTCACCTCTGAAAAGACCTATTGTTAAAAACTAGGGTTACAGCCTTTTCATCCTTTTTCTACACATTGTGAACGTAGCACTCACTCTATACAGTACTTTGTATCCTATAGTTTTCTCTTCACAATGCACTTTAATTTATAATATCTTTAGCACATATTCTTTGAGAACATGATTTTTCATGGTAGAATGGTATTTCATAGCTGGACTATACCACAATGTTTATCCAATATCCTTATTATTGAAAGTTACGACATTTTCAGTGTTTGCAATTACAAACAATGCTGTGATGCTATTCTTGTACATAAATATTTGTATGGACCTCTAATTCCTTAGAGTAACTCCCAGGAATGGAGCAACAGGGCTAAAGATTATGAACCCTTGCTTAATTCTTAAGTGTATACAAACACAGGCATTTTTTCATTTTGTTTTTGCTGTGATTCAATTCAAAGTTAGCAAAGGAAGATGAACACTGGCTAGCAGGAGCATACTTTGCCGAAAGGCAGGTGGCTGGGCAGCAGTGCCCATCCTGGGCAGAGACAGGTGTTCTTTGCTTTTCCAATCTTGAACCTAAAGGATGGTCAGCGGAGGCCATGATTCCAGCCACAATACACTAATGTGCAGAGTGCAGTACCTCATTCAATTGTGCCTTTTAAGGCAAAGGCGTAGGTATTGTCAAGTTCAATCAAATCTCATAATCATTATGCTTTCAAAGGCAGTTCACAGTTTGTTTCTAAGTCACCCAACAGACCGACCATTAAAGGGATCAAAGTTCACATAACCCAGGAAAGCAGGACGTACGTATTTCTAGTTAAAGTAGGGAAACTGCCCCACCCAACCCCAGCTCCCTGGCACATCATATGAACCAGTGCCTCCAGTCGGATAACAAGGAGGAAGGGACAAAAACGTGAATCAGGGCTTCAGTCACAGGTGGGTGGCTACCTGACAGAGTAGCTAGAAAGGAAACAGACATACTGGCACTAACCCACTCTGAGTGTGCTAATCCATTGTTATCCAGGATGACAAAGCATCCACAGAGTAAGAATTCTGTGTAGATTTTATTAAAGGAAGGATCAACTAACAAGTAGAAAGATATGCCAATGCAGAACTTTCTAGAAATTACATCTTATTAGACATATTATCTCTCTATAGTTCAAAAGTGAATTGTCAGTTTCTACAATTGATATGAAACTTAACACATTAATACCAATTTAGCTTATAGAGAATAAAAATATTTACAAAGTACATATAAAAGGGCTTTAGAAATCACTATTTCTAAATTATTAATATTATTCAAAATTATTAAAATTCTAAATTATTAAAATAAGTAATAATTTTAATTATTAAAAATAAGATGAAAACATAAATTAAAATTTTCCTTAATTAGTTTAATGTGGCATTTTAAGAGGGAAGAAATAGTAGGCTTTCATTTCAATCAGATAGCAATCCTCAAATACATATGTGGATTGTGTTAATTTCTAAATAGTGTTCTATTTTTGATCCAAAATGTACTATCACCAAATTTCAACTTTGTAAAATCCCAAACTGTTCTTTCCAGTGCCATGAAAGCCTTTACCCAAGTAAAGTACAGACACATCTGTGCTGGTCTCTGCTTTTCTCAAACTACAGAGAACACCGAGAAAAACAGGAGTGCTTCTCTCTTTAATTATTAAAACCAACAAAAAGCACTGGCAGTTGAAGTTTTAAAAACCAACAAATAAATGTTTGCAAGGGAGGTGCCAATGCCTTTAATCAAAGCATTGCTTCCTGTAATTATTATATGCCACATAAAATAACAACTGTCTTTGCCACAGACAGTTAGCCAGGCCTGTATTTAGCTGCTCTGTTATTTGGGAAATGACCAAGTCCTTTTTCAGAAGCAAAGTGGTTAATATCATGTGATTACTTTAGTAAGAATTCTAAACAAAGCCAGTAATGTGAGGACCTGTTGACTGATCCAAGAGAGCAGTAAGTCAGGACGGAAGCAGACTCAGCCAGGCTGCTGCTCCAGAAGAGGACAGAGCTTCTCCAGAGAGCTGTTGGACTCTGCATGGTGTCCCCTGGGTCAGGCGCGGTTGTAAATGAGGGTAGCCAGGGCAGCTGAGCAAGAGCAGGAGAAAACGACCTGGGACAGAAAGGCTGCACCTCATATCCTCACTGCTTCCCAGGAGAGCAGAGCAGTAGCATCTGGTCTCCAGTCAACTCCGTGAACACAGGGAAACATCTCCGATCAGAGGCCCAGCACACAATCACTCATCCAGGCGACATCTACTCACTACCATAAGGAACTGGGAGCACTCAGCGCCTAGGTACCTGGGGCGTTAGTGAAAGCCAAACCCACAATAGGTCCCATTTCCCATAGGTCCCATTTTTCCTTTCAGCTAAGGAGAGATTGACCCTTAACGCCACACATACTGTGTACTGCCACCCACCATGGTCTGTGTTCTCTGCTGACTCCCGTCACATGGGCTGTAGCTGAATGCCAAGAGCCACAGCAAGGCCTCAGGGGGTTCAGCTTCTGACATCAGTAACTGCTCAGCCACCATCTCAGCCCATCCTCCAAAGTGAATGAACAAAAACCAGCTCTCAAAGGGGCCTCCGGAGGACCTGGAACAGAACCAAAACACATGGCAGCCAGGCAACTTGATTTCTTTTTGCTTTTGGTTCTTAAGGCAACGTCTGTGAACAGTTGGCTTAAATTGTTCTTACCCACTGAAGTCCAACTTGCAAGGAATACAAGTTAGATTCAGAAAAATAGCTCACAATGCCACTCTGAACCCATCACAGGACCTTCAAAGGCATGCCTCTCAAAACCTCAGTGCCCTGAGAACTTAGACATTTAAATCTTTATATCCAGGAACTTGAGTGACTGCAGACCTTTAAGAAAGGAAGATTTTGGCCCATGACCAGCAGGAACGATGCAGAATGAGAATCTGCAGGCGTGCCTCTCTGCCTCCTGCCTGCAGAGCTGGGCTGCTGTGCAGAGTGGGGCCTCCCAGCCACAGGAGCCACCCAGGTGCTGAGCGCAAGAAGAGAGGAGGCTCCTCGGGGTCCAAATGCAGACCCCAGAAGGGGAACAGGCAGAAACATGTGCTATGTCCTTTCTGACATAACACAAGGTTCTGGTTGATATTTTAGCAATTATGAATTTTAATGGACTGTATATTGTATCCCTTTCTGCCATCACAAATACGTAAAAGCTGAAAGTTACAGCCTTTGTGAAGCTATCCTTTATCACACTGAGAACTGGGAGTTGTAATAGCTGTTTAAAGGGCTGAATCTGCTCAAGGACCCAATAATTTTACACGACAGTGTTAGTAGTTTAACATCTCCCCTGGAAAAAAATGGAGCAGGACTGGCCTGAGATTGTATCAGATCAGAATTTTCCTTCTGAAATGGGGAAGCCGCTGGGACGGGAGAGCTCCAGAACCCTCTGCAGGGCTCTGTCTTTGGTGGATCAGGGTTTGTACTCCCCGAAAACCCCAAGTTCGAAGCACTGTCTTTGCCTCCCCTGGTCACAGCCTTCCTTCTGTCCAAGTCCTTGCTGAGAACAACTGATGAAATGTCCTGAATGTTAGCTTGCAAGACAATGGAGAGAAAAGGAAGGAAGGGCAGTTTTACTGTTTCCCTCAAGAGGGAGAGTTGATGTTCTGCAGGTCATGTTAGTGGTGGGCTGGGTCCTGACATCTCAAAAGCAAAGAAGAGGCTCCACAGGGTCTCCTCCCTGCAGTCCTCATGGACAGTACGCTCAGCAGCAGGCCTCTCCTGCTCTCTGCTCCCAGGTGGGCATCACGCTTATGCCAGGGTTCAAGGTCTGCTTTGCAGGAATGGGCCTTGTCATTCTCCCTTTTTTCTATCAGTAACTGAGTGCCGAGGCGGTCCCACGTGGCTGGCCGAGCAAGTGCCAAAACCTGTCCACAGACCCCCTCCCTGTAGATAGATCCCAAAGTCTAATTAAGGAAGATCTAGGTTGTAGATGTAGGTTCTGCACTTTAACAGAGGCAACCAGAAAGGGTACAAGCAGGGCTGTTAGGTGTGGCGGGTCATTGTATGGCCAACACTCTGGTCCCCACCTGGCCACCAGTTCTTTTTGTCTCCTCTATTGGAGAGAGGCCTGGTGAGGTGGGGAGAGAGTGCCTGGCACTCCCCAGTGCTCATGAACACAGAGCTCTGCCGCTAACCTGTGGTGGCTCTGACGTGGGAGTAAGAGAATTTAAAGAGGGAAAACCCAGCAAATGGAACAAACAAAGAGTCTTTGCAGGCTGGCATAGACAATGAATAAAACACGCCCTAAAGGCAAGAAGTTTAAGAGGAAGCTGAAAGGGGTTATGTTACAAAGAACTTAACAAAACCTAAATGAGAATGCTTCTAGGAAAATAACACATATAAGAAGGTACTGAGTATCATCATGTTAATATCGTAATAGGATTTTTAAATTTTAGATATGTATTTATTACAAAGAGGAGGAAAAAGAAACATTTTATCCCACTGTATAAGAGCAGTTTAGAATTTCCTTCTGTAGAGGCAGAGAAAAGGAGACAAGGAGCAGACAGGCACTCTTCTGCATGCCCAGGAGTTCACAGCATGTGGGCACTGCTTTTTTCCTAGGGTCTATTCTTTTTATTATTGTGCTTGTATTTTCAAAATCTAATACAATGCAAGGTATTTACGTATGCACGTCTATTTATTCTGAGCTGCACAAGTGGTCCAAGCAGCTCTGCGCTTCCTCTACTTCTTACTCAGCAGTGTGCTTACCTGTTCGGAAACGGCCACAGACCAATAATGCCTTCCCATCAGTCCTGCTAAATGGAAGACAGGGATCCAGAGAAGCCATGTGTGAAGCACACCTAGGAGTCATTTGTGTCTGCTTACCCGTGGGTCTGGTCTTCCACCGTTTCTCTGAGCATTTCAGAAATATGTTCCAGTGGCTGGTGCCACAGTCCCTGTGGGATATCTGAGTGAAAAGAGAGCAGAAGGGAACTGAATAAATGACCAACCTATTAGGTAGAAACCACCTGCAGCTAAGATTGGAAGAGTTTTGGGGAAAGACCATACTTTTTTCTTGGTCAGTGGAACTCTGCCAGCACCCATTGCTCAGGCCTGGGAAGAAACATCCATTAGTGTTACACAAGCTAAACTTCAGGGGCTAAACTCATGCACGAGGGAGTCTGCAAAGATGGCACGCATGGCCCACCCTAGGATTCAGAAATGCTGTGCTGCAGATACCTAGGTTTTTTCTTTTCTACTTATCCACCCCGTCCTCTACCACTAACAATTTGTGATTTCAAAATATGTGGAGTCTAATAAAACGGTCAATAAGAAATTAGGAATGGGCTGCCCAACTGTTTTTTTATGATTGTGATGAATTCATAATATGATTACAGGCTTATAGTAAAGAAAAGGCCAGGGGAAAAAAACACAGGTATCATACAAACACGTGCCTTTTCTTGAGTAGGCTTCTCTGGTTTCACAATTATCTTGTGACTTTAAATACATCTGAATATGTAGCTGCAGTCTGAAACATCTGAAAAAAGTTACCATATTTGCATGTGGTGACTGGTTCTATGATTATATACACAGAGAAGATAATGTAAGTGATCGAGTACCTATGGCTACTTCACAAATGTTACAGATTAAAGGATCATATAGTCTCCCCATCCCTCCTCTGAACTCCCAGAACTCTTCATTTGCAGCCTTTGAAGGTGTTTTCATTTTTTTCTATTAGTTGTTTAGACACCTATTCTATGTCTCCCTTACTTACAGTTCCTAGAGAGCCAAGGCTCATAAATGATTCTTCTTTCATGCCCCATGGACCTTTACAGTCGGCACAAAATCAATTTCTGATGAACAGAAGATTCTACTAATAAAAACACTTTAACTTGTGAATATAACATTGTTTTTTTCTAAAAGTAATATGCAGAAAACTATTTAGAAACTAGCATAGGAAGTTCTTCTACTTCTGCATGAATTTACTTATTTTGTGACAAATCTGGGATAATCACACCAAGGAAAAGGTGAGTAGGCCAAGTTCATGCCCATAAACCACATACTACCCAATCTTTTGTTTATAGGTCTCCAAACTTAAAAAATAACAACTCCAATACTTCTCTGGAGTCACACAGGCTGACTTTAAGCTTCAGTGATCTGACTTAAGCTGTGAGGTGTAGCCCTGGAAAGTGAATTACTGACTTCTCTGTCTTGACTAAAGTTTTCCCACTGTGTTTCCACAGGTTACATTTCACAAAACTGTTGACCAGAGATCCCATTGGCCCATCACCACCTCCACCTCTAACATCTGAGAAGACAGTGTCAGATGGGTCACTTTAGATGAGAACATTTGTCTTTTAGAAAAAAGGAAGAGGAATTCAGACTTTATAGAATGCCGTGAAACTGATCCATCTACTTCCTTAAATGAATCTACTTACCCTAGTCTCAGGAAAAAAGGCATGCAAAAAATGGCATAAAAGGGAAGTATTACTGGTTCTTTTGCTCTTTTCTCCTTCCTTCCCCAGTCAGATAAAGTGCCTTCTTCCCTGGCACTCAATCTGTGCTGTGTCAGTGTTGCCTTGCCTTCATATTTCAGGCTTTAGAGGGAGAGGAGGCTTTATTTCCTATTTCTGAAATGTTTCCTAAACATGAGCTCACAGGCATGTTAACAATCAACAGCAGTTGAATTAAGGATGGAACCATCACTTCCCCAACTGCTAATGGCCAAAGAAGGCTGGCAAATGGCATCAAAGAAAGCTGTGGTCTAATACACTTACGGAATTCTTTCAAAAGCCTTCCCTTGGCTTGGTTAGGAGAAATTTCCCCTACACTTCCTTGGCTTCTTTCATCCTTTTATCTTTTCTTTTGCAACAAGGGGCATGGAGTAGAAAGAATGAAATACTAATAAATGTACTGTTTTATTCAGACTTGGCCATGTCTTAGCCTGTTCCTGGCATCTAGGTGGACCTGGCTGGCACCAGAAGACTTGTGGTATCTGGAGCGCACTATCAAAACTTAACAAGAGGCCTTTTTATTTGTTTCTTTTTCTGTTTTCCTTTCTTTGGTAAATGATCCTAACTGGGACATCAAGCAAATTGTCCATGTCAAAATCCACAGAATGTGAGACCCTGAGAGCTTAAAGAGATGTCAGAAATGACCACTTGCGTCTCCCTTGTTTTACAGATAAGGAACTGGGAGAAAGGGTTATGATTTGGCAGCACTCTTTCCCAGAAATCCTTTTAATACAGGCAGAATCAATCTTCACGTACCTTTTGGGTGTTGGAGTAGCACCATCACAAGAGATGGAGAAGCATAGGGAAAGTAGGTCTTGACTGCAAACTTCAGCTACAATAGAATCAAAAATTCGAAACTGTGTGAACATTAGGATTGGAAGTAGTGCTAAGAAAATACAAAAGCCCACGTCCTCTGCCCCAAAAGGACCCACTAGTACTAACATGGTCAGAATATTTTCTTAAACATTTATTTTTTTAAAAAAAGATGCTTCCAGTAATCTTATAAACGTATTCTAGAAAAATAAATCTTTTGAAGTCACCTTTTGGGATTAAGAAAAATAAAGTTATAATATAAACTTTGTTTATATCAGTTCTTTACTTCACATGGACCTATTATACACATAAATCTTCTGTTTAAGTGAGGGTTTCCAAAGCAGTTGTGAGATGGATTTTTCTTATTAAATTTATCATTTTTTATTTTCAATTACTGTTGACATAAATTATTATATTAGTTTCAGGTGTACACCCCAGGGACCAGACATCACATAACTTAGTAAGTGATCATGCCGATAAATCTCACACCATCTGACACCATACGACATTATTACACTATTATTGACTATATTCCCTGTGCTGTACTTTAGATCTCATGACTATTCTGTAACAACAGATTTATATTCTTAATCCTTTCACATTTTCCACCCAGTCCTCCAAATATTCCCCCATCCTGCAACCATCAAAATGTTCCCTGTACCCATGAGTCTGTTTCTGATCTACTTGTTCATTTATTTTGTTTTTAGATTTAATTGTTGATAAACATGTATTTATTCCCATTTTATTGTTCATATTTTCCCCTCCCTCCCCTCCTTCTTCTTCAAGAAGACCTTGTAACATTTCATGTAATACTGCTTTGGTGATGATGAACTCCTTTAGCTTTTTCTTGTCTGAGAAGCTTTTTCTTTTTGTCCTTTAATTCTAAACAATAGCTTTACTAGGTATAGCAATCTTGGTTGTAAGTTCTTGCTTTTCATTACTTTGTTTCTTGCCAATCCCTTCTAGCCTGCAAAGTTTCTGTTGAGAAATCAGCTGACAGCCTTATAGGAGCTCCCTTGTAGATAACTAACTGCTTTTAAGATTCTTTGTCTTTAACCTGTAGCATTTTAATTATGATATGTCTTGGTGTGGGCCTGTTTGGGTTCATCTTATTTGGGATGCTCTGTGCTTCCTGGATTTGTATATCTATTTCATTCACCAAGTTAGGAAAGTTTTCTGTCATTTTTTCCAAATAGGTTTTCAATTTCTTGCTCTCTCTCTTCTCCTTCTGACACCCCCATGATGCAAATATTGGTACACTTGAAGTTGCCCCGAGGCTCCTAACATTATCCTCATTTTTTTTGGATTCTTTTTTCTTTTTGCTGTTCTGATTGGGTGTTTGTTTGCTTTTTTATGTTCCAAATTGTTGATTTAATTCTTGGTTTCATCCCCTCTACTGTTGATTCCCTATAAATTACTCTTCATTTCAATAAGTGTATCTTCCATTTCTGACTGGTTCTTGCTGCTGAGGTTCTCACTAGGTTCATGGAGCATCCTTATAAGAAGTATTTTGAACTCTGCATCTAGTAGATTTCTAGTTTCCATTTTGTTTAGTTCTCCTTCTGGAGTTTTGTTCTGTTCTTTCATTTGGGCCATGTTTCTGTGTCTCCTAATTTTGGCAACCTTCCTGTGTTGGTGTATATATATTAGATACAGCTGCTATGTCTCACAGGGTGGGTAGAATGGCCTAATGTAGCAGATGTCCTGTATGGTCAAGCGACACAGCCTCCCCTATCACCCAAGCTGGGTACTTGAAGCACACCCATTGTATGGACTATGTATACTTTTCTCTTGTAGTTGAGACTTAATTGCTGTTGTCACTCTAATGGGAGGAATTTACCCAGCTGACCAGCTGTAAGGACTGGATGTGACTGACCACCAATCTCCAACCACCATGGAGGATCAACTGTGTAGGGGCCTACCCCACAGAGCAGGACTTCCTTCAACAGGGTAGTGGTGGCTAGTGAGTCTGCCAATGAGTGTGTCGCTTGTGCAGGTGGTTGGGTGATGATACTTCGATGTGGTCTGGATCTGTCCACTGGGTGTGCTGACTTTGGGACCCCCTGGGAGGTGCAGGCCAAGGCCAGCCACTGCCTGTACTCTGCCCCAGGGCCACCCAGCACAAGATACAAAGTGCTCTGCCAATGGCTTCTACTTGTGCTGGGCTTAGATGTGCCCTGGTGAGTTCAAGCTGTAAACCAACTCCAGCTGCCACTAGTACCAGGCCTGGGGTCACTTAGCAAAAAGTTCTGGGTTTGTCAAGGGCAGAGGCTGCTTGTTTGAGAAAATTTAGGAAAATCTGAAGCATGAGCAAAAACAAGCCATACAGATAGAGAACCTCCTGGAAACAGATTGGGCTGGCCTGAAAGATTGGCAGGGCGGGGCCTCAGGGAATCACCAGGGTGGGGCAAACAGTGTGAGCCTGCTTGATTCAGTCTCAGATATGGCACCTGCCAGCCAGCTCTGTGCGGGGAAGGGCCCATCAAAGGAACATTAGCCTCTGTCAGCACTTCCGTCTAGGAGAAAGCTGCCCCTCCAGCTCTCACCCTGATGACAAACAATTCAGTTCCTTCTAGAATGTCTCTGGTGCCTCACAAGCTGCCGCTGCTGCCATACTGGAGCTCAGGATTGAGTCCACCAAAGTAAGTCTGTACACCAGCCCTTTAAGAGGAACTGCCTGGGACTCCAGAAGCTCCTGCCTTCCTCATTCTCAATCCCCTCTGGTTTTTACAGCCAGAAGTTATGGGGACTTCTCTTCCTGGCACTAGAACCCTGGGCTTTGGTGGCTTGGCGTGGGGCTGGGACCCCTTGCTCCTAAGATATCTCTCCCAATATTTATCCAACACATGTAGGTGTGGGACCAGCCCATTCCACATCTCTGCCCCTCCTACTAGTCTCGATGTAGTTTCTTCCCTAACTCCATAGTTGTAAGACTTCCATTCAGCTTGATTTCATGCAGTGCTAAATGATAGCTGCTCTGTAGTTTATTTGTAAGTCTGATGTGGTTACAGGAAGAGGTGAGTACCATGTTCACCTATGCTGCCATCATGATGATGTCAGCACCACCACAAAACAAAACAGTAGTGCTCACAATACTGTGAAGGCCGAAGTGCTATAGCTCTCTGTACCCTCAGAAGGCACAGAACTTTTAAAACGCTTTCTTTCTATATATGGATTTTTATCTTTTTAAAGTATATTTTATTGATTATGCTATTACAGTTGTCCCATTTTTCCCTTCCTTTTATCCCCCGATGCCTTGCACACTGCTTCCACAAAATCCACCCCCCTTAAGTTTATGTCCTTGGGTTGTACATATAAGTTCTTTGGCTTCTCCATTTCCTATACTATTAACCTCACCCTGTCTATTTTGTACCTATCATTTATGCTTCTTATTCCCTGTGCCTTTTCCCCCATTCTTCCCCCACCTCCTCCCCGCTGATAATCTTCCATGTGATCTCCGTTTCTGTGATTCTGTTCCTGTTCTAGTTGTTTGCTTAGTTTGTTTTCATTTTTGTTTTTTAGGTTCAGTTGTTGATAGTTGTGAGTTTATTGTCATTTCATTTTTGGTTCCCTGTATATTTTTCTTTATTTCACTTTGCATAGCCTTCACTGTTTTCCTCTATTTTGTGACCATACTCAACTATTTCTGTGAGCATCCTCATTACCAGTGTTTTGAACTCTGAATCTGATAGGTTGCAATCTCTATCGCTTAGCTGTATTTTTCCTGGAGTTTTGATCTGTTCTTTCATTTGGGCCATATTTCTTCGTCTCAGCACTCCTGATACATTGTAAAGGGCGGACTCTTAGGTATTCACCAGGGACGGGCAACCCACATCGCTGGGTTGTGGTGCTGTATGTGGAGGAGGTGTGAGAGAGGGAACAATGTCACTTGCTTGGCTCTCGGCCAGCTTTAAGTCACTTCCCTGCTACCCACAAGCAAATGAGCCCTTCTGGTGCTGATTCCTGGGTGAGTGGGTTTGTATACGTTCTACGACCCTGTCGGTCTCTCCAATGTGGAAAAAGCATTTGATAAAGTATAGCATCAATTTATGATAAAAACACTTAGCAAAGTCGGGCATACCTCAATATAAATAAAGGCCATATATGCAAAATCTACAGCCAACATCATACTCAATGGGCAAACACTAAAAGCTTTCCCACTAAGATCAGGAACAAGACAAGGTTGTCTGTTTTCACCCCTTCTATTCAATATAGTATTGGAAGTCCTAGCCACAGCCACCAGACAAGAAAAAGAAATAAAAGGCATCCAAATTGGAAAGGAGGAAGTAAAACTACCATTGTTTGCAGATGACATGACTCCATAGACTCCACCAAAAAACTACTCAACCAGTAAGTGAATTTGGCAAAATAGCAGGATACAAAGTCAATATTCAGAAATCAAAGGCATTTTTGTACACCAGAAATGAAATAGAAGAAGAAGAAATCAGGAAAAAAAAAATCCCATTTGCTGTTTGCCTTTTTACTGCTATATAATCTTCACTTTACTTTTCATGTACTCATAGGTATGTTTGAATGTAGGCCTACCTTTTGACATTAGTTTCTTTTTCCAATCTATCTTTTGTTCCTCTGATAGCCCACAGCTCTGCCTTTTGATATCTTAAGTCAATCATATTGTGTCTTGAGTTCTGGCTACCCCTTGACCCCACTTAACCCCTTTCCCATCCCTTACATGATGAGAGGCCTCAGAGGAAAGTAAGAAGAATAACCAATGAAGTTTCCTTGTTCAAGGGCTGAATCCACTCCAGTTTTTATCTGCTTTTTTTCATTACTCCTCAGTACCTTCAAACTATTCTTAAAAATATTTTCCTGAGTTTATAATTTTTTAAAAGGATTTTATTTATTCCTTTTTAGAGAAATGGGGAGGGAGGGAGAAAAAGAGAGAAGAAACATCGGTCTGTGAGAGATACATTAACTGGTTGCCTCTTGCATACCCCCAACCAGGAACCTGGCCTGCAACCCAGGCTCATGGCCCGACTGGGAATTGAACTGGCAACTCTCTGGTTTGCAGGCCAGCACCCAATCCACTGAGCCACACCAATCAGGGCCAGAGTTTATAATTTTTTATGTGTGGGAGATTTAGTCTTAGTACATTATTAGATTCTGCCACTAATAGAACCAGATCCTGAACAGATCTGCAGTTTATACTGAACTATTATGTAAGCTCTGAAAAAGTGGCTTGTCAGGACAACCTTAAGTGTTTGCCTACTGGCCTGACTGAGCACATTGAGGGAGCTCACTGTGCTCTCCAAATAAAACAGGAGTGAGAGGAAAGGATAAAAAGAGAATGAAAATAAACAGTCATGACAATGGGAAAGAATGTGGACTAATGGGATTTCTTATAAACTGCTGTGAGTTGGGGGGTGGGGCACGGAGTGTAATGAAAACAATTTGGCAATATCTATAGAAGCAGAACTTTGCATTCCTAATAAGCAGCACTTCCATTCCTAAGTATATATCCAAGAATGTTCTGAGAAACACTGTTTGTAAAAGAAAACAAAAGGTGGAAACTACTCCAATGTCCACCACCAGGAAATGGCTAGGTTCTGGCATACTTTCCCAGTGGAGTACTACCAACAGGTACGTGAATAGGTACCTGAATAAAAGCTCAACATCATTAGTCACCGGGTAAATGCAAATCAAAACCACAATGAGATACCAAGTCACACTTGTTAGAATGGCTGTTATAAAAAAGATAAAAAATAGCAAATGTTGGCAACTATGAGGAGAAAAGGGAACACCTACACACTATTGGTGGGAATGTAAATTGTTGCAGCCTCTATGGAAAACAGTATGGAGGTTCCTCAAAAAATACAACTACCATATCATCCAGCAATTCCACTTCTGGGTATTTATCTAGCAAAAATGAAAACACTAACTCAAAAAGATATATGACAGGGAGCCCCATAAAACCCAGAGTTATCTCCTGGAGGGTGAGCTCCTTATAGTACAGGGTTCCCCACTTGGTGAATGTTCTAGGAACCCATCTGTATCAATGTACTAGCGAGTATTGTGAGAAGCTGTGTTCAGCTTCAGTGAATTTTTTTTGAAGACTCTTTCAATATGTTTGCCCGTTTCATGACGAGTGATTTACAGGCCCACCTGCCTACACTGCATGAGTACTCAGCAGTATTTTTGAGCAAAAATGGCATGACCCCCATGCTCCATCCTCCATGTTCACTCGATCTCACCCCAAGTGATTTATTTTTGTTTGCCTAGGTGAAAAAAGTCCTCAAAGGGAAATGTTTTGCTAATAGCAGAAGCACTAAAAAAGCATCAAAATTGACGAGATCAAAAACTGTTTTGAGCAGTGGAAAAATGTCTCAATAGGTGTATTGCATCAAATGGAAAGTACTTTGAAAGTGACTGAAGTTTAAACATGTAAGAACAAATACACAATTTTTTTATAAATAAATTCCAGTTTTTGGGTCTGTCCTTGCATGCATCCTCATGTTCACTGCAGCATTATTTGCTATATGTAATAAATGGAAACAACCTAAGTATCCATCAATGGATGAATGGATAAAAAAATGTCGTGTATATGTACACAATGGAATATTATTCAACCATATAAAAATTAAATCTTGCCATTTGGGACAATACGGATGAACCTCAAGGGCATTATGCTAAGTGAAATGAGTCAGACAAAGATAAATATGGTATGATCTCAATCATATGTACAATTTTAAGAAAGGAAGGAAGGAAGGAAGGAAGGAAGGGGGAGGGAGGAAGAGGGAGGAAGAGAGAGGAAGAGAGAGAGAGAGAAAGAAAGAAAGAAAGAAAGAAAGAAAGAAAGAAAGAAAGAAAGAAAGAAAGAAAGAAAAAGAAGAGAGAGAGAAAGGAAAAAAGACCAAACACAGATACAGAAAACATATTGGTGGTTGACAGAGGTAGGAGGTGGCTGAAATCAGTAAAGGTAGTCAAAAAGTATAAACTTCAGCTATAAAATAAATAATTCATGGGGATGTAATGTACAGATATAACAAAGTTTCTAATACTGTATTGCATACTTGAAAATTGCTAGGATTGTAGATACTAAAGGTTTTCCCCACAAGAAAAATAATCGGTAACTGGTTGTTGGTAGATGTTAACTAGACTTACTGTGAAGATCATATCACAATATGTAAATATCCAATCATTATGCTGTACAACTGAAACTAATAGAATATGCCAATTATACCTCAATTAAAAAAATAAAGATAAATAAATTAAAAGCAACAGCAATTCATGGTCCAAATCCATAATGCCCAAGGCCAACACTCAGGAGGAGCAAAACTGATATGAAAAAGCGGCTCAAGCTAACACTGAAAAGTAACACTTCTTCCACTAGGGTCCTTTACCCCAACCTAGGTGTGTTCTAGGAATCAAAGGGACAGATTTTCTAAAAGGCCAGTTCCTAACTGGGAGTACAAAGAATGTATAAGAGAGGATAAGGGGTATTTATAATTATGCCTCAAAGTATGAGGACCAGGCAGTCAGTGCCTTTCCACAGACCTCTCCTCCCAAATTCCAGGCTGCGTATGGTTGATATCACTGTTTGCTACAGGTTAGCTAACTTCCCCAGGAAAGAGAGGATGGCGAAAAAATACATCATAAATATTTATCACTGTCTTAAACAGCAATGATAAAACCAGAGCAATCTTTGGGGTAGAGGTGTATGGAATTTTAGCAGAGCTGAGCATCACAGCGCTGTTCTCTTTAGTCAAACTGTTGAGTGCATCATAAGGGACCATGCCATTCCTCACAGGAAGCTGCAGTGGACCCAGGCACTTGAACAGGCAAAGCAACACACAGATGTTTGGGCTAGTTAAAATGCCCTAAAGTGAAAGCTCTCTGTTAGAAAAGGTTCTCGTTCTACAGGGTCACTCTAACTGGTCAGTGGTCTTGCACGCCGCTTCCTTGCCTCTGCTGATGAAGCCCTATAGTGCAGGTCTTCCTGCAGGGCCAGGGCCTGGCTTCCTGCTTACTGTGTCCAACTGGCACCTCTTGGTCACTGCCACTCCCAACTCTTTCTTGACAGTTATTCAAATCTTTCCTCATTCTTACCACCTCCTTTCTCTCCTGGAATCCAATTCACATTTGAGTTTCTCAAAGGAAAGGAAACTTCAGTAATTAAGAATGTTCAGTATTGCTTTGTAACAAGAGGCATTTTTTTCTTAGCACATGCCATATGGACTCCAGGACAACTGTCACTGGTCTGGGGGGGCGGGGGGAGTGGAGTCCCATTTGGCAAACCGCATATACACAGGGCCTGGAAATTTCATCTTCCAGGGTCAGCATGACAGAGTTCTGTGACATAACAGTAGGTAAATGTTTCTTGGTACCAGAGCACAGGACAGACAGGAACTATTTTGAATATTTCAATTAAAATAGTGTTACCTTTGCTGGGGCATGCATTTGGAAGCTTTGTGAGCAAAACAGTCTATCAAAATCACTGAAAATAAAGTACTCCTTTCTGATGGTTAGCCAAATACTCTGAGCAGCTTTTTTTTTTTTTCCTTTGGGGAAATGAATAATATATGTAATATAACGAACCTGGTTGTTTTCTTTTTTCAGAGCTTCTACGAAGCACCATGTAAATACTTGAATGATGGCTAGTACTCCTGGGGCTCCGTTGGTTTCCAGGAGTGCATACCTGAGTAATGCAGGGCCAGATCACAAGACATTCAGTGAGTAATCTAATAAACATGTGAACCTGAACTGTGCAAGGGAATAGTGGAAACATTCTTTTTGTGCCGTAAGCTTCAGATGTCAGTCCCTGTGTAAAGGCAGGAGAACTCTGCCACTCCTTTTCTAAAGACTTTAAAGTGGTAATGTGCAGCACTCCCTTCCTTGGTTTTTAAATTATTAAGCACTGCAGATCCTTTCCACACAGGCCTGAGTGTTCTACAAATATTTGTACACAGTATGCCCAGACATGCAACAGCAACAGCCCTTTTGCTTTTTCAAGTGGAGAAAGAGCTGCTCAAGCGGGGGAAATGGCTCAGTCAAATCTACCCACCAAAGTGGTGGAAGAATCTGCATGTAGCTGGTTACTTTCCATGTATTTTCCATGTATACAACTAACTTTTCTTTAAATTTAAACAAAAAAGCAGCTCAAACTTCGTAGCTTTAAACCCAAAACAGCATTGATTTCTTATTTCTATGCTTATTTAGCTTAAAGTTGGTATGTTTCAAGACCAACCCAAGTGTTACGTTATTTACTTTTGTAAAAATTTCTTTCCCCAGTGTCTGCTGTCTGTTCTGGAGCCCCTTACCACTGAGTGCAAGGTGGGGTGGCACGGACAGGACACACACCCTGGCTGTACCAGCAGCCCAGAAAGAGGGGACAAGCTTCTAGACAGAGGTCAAGTCTCCCAGTAACGGTCAGCCATTAACTAACTTGGTGTCCAGTGGTTTCACCCCTCATCATCTGTAAATCCAATGCACTTCCCAAGAAGTGCTCAATTTGCAAAATAAAAAGCAATGTGTTGTAAGATAACTTGCATAGTTGATCTTACCTTTCAGAAGAGCTGTGTTAAAATGGAATATTTATTTATTTTTCTTGTTTTTCCGTAGCTTTAAAAATCCTTTAAAAAGATTGGTCAGCCCTCATGTGGTGGAGGGAGTACACTGCTACACTTTGTTTTGACCTGAGAAAAATCCTACATATTTAATGATTTAAAAATCTAATTAGACTTTTTTGTATCATCATTATTAGAATTTTAAAAGGTTAAAATATAAAATTATCTTAATTCTTAAGCACTGGCTTTTAAACATACACTGATATTTGGGCTTTACCAAAAAGCTCAGAGCGGTAAGATGGAATCAGAAACTAATTTCCCCGTGTCACAGCTAGAGACTACCACAGACTTTTTAATTTAAATTTGGAAATTGGGCATTTAAAAATCAATTAGTAGCACAAATAGCACAACATTTACCTGAACATTTCATCGACTATTCTGAATATGGCAGGGTGGCAGGCTGCTTCAGGCTGTTAAAGAAAAGACCATGAGAAGATAAAATATCAGAAGTATTTCATCAATAAAAACTTACTACTAACAAGCAAATGAGTTGTCTAGAACTGCTAGTGGCTATAAAATTAACATAGCCCTTCTGATTTGTGCGACACAGTGAGAAGATGGCCGTTTACGAACCAGGAAGAGGTTTCTTGCTAGATACTGAAACTGCTGAAACTTTGATCTTCTACAAGCCTCTAAACTGACACAGCTTTCTGGTGTTCCACATGAAACTTCAACATTCGGACAATGGGCATCAGTTTCAGTACCCCACATTCAGTTGGGGTCAGATGGAAGGCCAATTTCACATCCTACTATTTTATTTGTCACTATCTATGGCAAGCAACTTCCCCCAGGTATATCAGACAATTAATAGACTCACAAATTGCTATCTTCTTCAGTAAAAAGACTGAATACTTCCAATCAAGATGGAGGCATAGGTAAAAATGGCTTGCCTCCTCACACAACCATATCAAAATTACAACTATAGAACAACCATCAATCAGAACTGTCAAAAATAAACTTGAATGGAAGCCCAACAACTATGGAATTAAAGAAACCACATCCATCTAGACTGGTAGGAAGGACACAGACACAGAAATGCAGAGATGCAGAATTGGCTGGTCCTAAACCCATTTGTGGTAAATAAAAAATGGTAGGGATATCTTGGGAGCAAAGGGTATCAGTCCATACCAGGGCTCCCAGCCCAGGGTTCCAGTGCCAGGAAGATCAGTCCCAATAACTTCTGGCTGCAAAAGCTAGTGGGGATTGAGTCTGTGGAAGAAACTGCTGATTTCCCGAGCAGTCCCTCTTAAATGGCCCACACACAGATTTGCTCGGACTCACTCCATCTGTGTTCCAGCACTGGTGACAGCAGCTTGATGGGCAAATTTTTGCCATCATCAGGGCAAAAGCTGGGGGACAGCTTTCCCCCAGACAGAATTGTGGGAAGAGGCCATTGTGCCTTTTCTAAGCCTGCCCCACACACAGTCACAGAGACAGCAGGTGGGTGCCATATCTGAGACTCCATGAACCTGGCTCACACTCTTTGCCCCACCCTGGTGATTCCCTGAGGCTCCACCCCACCCAAATTATGAGCCCATGCAAGCTATTAACACTGGCTTTTCCATATGAATGGCTGGTTTTGGCTCATGCTTCAGACCTTCCTAAATCCTCTCAAACAAGCAACGGTTGGCCTCAGCAAGCCCCTAGCCCCCACACCTCTTGCTAAGTGGCCTCAGGCCTGGCACTAGCAGCATCAGGCCTTGGTTCACAGCATGGCCTCACTATGGTACCTCCAAGCCCAGCACAAGTAACAGCCATCTGCAGATACCTTCATAGCTTCTGCCAAATGGTCTCAGGCAGAACACAGGTGGTGGCTGACTTTGGCCTGCACCGCTTGGGAAACCCCATAGCCTGCTCAGCCGGTAGACAGCTAGAGATCACATTGGGGCAGAACCGCCCCACCACCTTCACAAGTGACACACTCAAGGGGCACACTCAGCAACCTCCAGAGCCCTGATGAAGTAAGTCCCACTCTGTGGACTGGCCCCTGCACAGTGGGTCCTCCATGGAGGGCAGAGGTTAGTGGCTGGTGGTCACAACCAGTCCTTGCAGCTGACTGGCCTGGGTAAATCCCTCCCATTGACATGCAAACAGCAATAAAAGCTCAACAAGAGGAGGGTGTACTCAGCCTACACAAAGGGTGCTCCTCTAATACCCAGCTTGGGCAATAGGGGAGGCTGTGCCACTGGACCCTACAGGACACCTATTACATTACTTCATGATAACAAGACAGGGAGTCATAGCAGCTCTACCTAATGAAAAGAAACAAATACAGGAAGGCTGCCAAAAAAAAGGAGACAAAGAAATATGGCCAGGATGAAAAAAACAGCAGAGTGGATGATGCAGAGAATCAAATCGATGATGTGGAACATAAGGAAGCAAAAACCAACCAATCAGAACAATAAGAAGGAAAAAGAATTCCAAAAAACGAGAATAGTGTAAGAAGCCTCTGGGACAACTTCAAGCATTTCAATATTCATATCATAGGGGTCCAAAGAAGAAGAGAAGGAGCAATAAGTTGGAAATCTACTCGGAAAAACAATGAAAAGAAAACTTCCCTAATTTGATGAAGGAAATAGACATGCAAATTCAGGAAACACAGAGTGTCCCAAATGAGATGGATGCAAATAGGCCCACTCCACAATGTATCATAATTAAAAAGCCAAAGATTAAAAATAAAGAGAGAATCTTAAAAGCAGCAAGAGAAAAGCAGTTAGTTACCTATAGGGGAGTTCCTATAAGCCTGTCAGCTGATTTCTCAAAAGAAACTTTGCAGGCTAAGAGGGACTGGCAAGAAATACTCAAAATCATGAGAAGCAGGGACCTACAGCTAAAATCGTTCTAACTAGCAAAGCTATCATTTAGAAACGAGGGGCAGATAAAGAGCTTTTCAGACAAGGAAAAAACTATAGGATTGCATCATTACCAGACCATTATTATATGAAATGTTAAAGGGACTTATTTAAGAAAAAGATCAAAACTATGAACAATAAAATGGCAATAAATACCTATGTATCAACAATTGATTCTAAAAAACGAGCTAAGCAAACAGAACAGAGACAGAATCATGAATACAGAGAGCATTTTGATGGTTGCCGGATGGGAGGGTAGTTTGGGGGAGTGGGTGAAGAGGCATGGGGATTTGTAGTTACCAAATAGCCATGGGGATGTAAAGTACAGCACAGGAAATGCAGTAGCCAAAGGACTTATATGCGTGACTACTGGACGTGAACAAAGGTGTGGTAATTGCCTGAGGGAGTGGTGGGTACTGGGTGGAGAGGAGAAAAGGGGTAAAAATCAGGACAACTATAAGCATACTCAATAAAATATATTAAAAAAAAAAAAGAAAATGGGGGCTTCTGGTCAAGACGGGGGCCTGACAACTAAGGAATTAAAGAAACCACATCCATCCAGACTGGTAGGAGGAGCGCAGACACAGAATGGGCTAGTCCCTCACTCACATGTGGTGCATAAAAATTCGGGAGGGGTATCTCAGGAATGAGGAGTCCCAGCTCCATACTAGGTCCCCCAGCCCAGAGTTCCAGTGCCAGGATGATAAGTCCCCACAACTTCTGGCTGCATATGCCAGTGGAGTTTGAGTCAGTGGAAGAAAATGCTAAAGCGCCAAGCAGTTCCTCTTAAAGAATCCACACACAGACTCACCTACTCAGACTCACTCTCTCTGAGCTGTGCACTGGGGCAGCAGCTTGAAAAGCACCAGTGGCATACAGGGAGAGACTGAAGTGTCTGGCATCAAAGCAAGCAGAGGCCACTGTCCCTTTTCTAAACCATTCCCCCCAAAAGAGAGCAAGCTGGTGCCATATTTGGGAATTCATCAATGTGGCTAACACTATTTGACCTGCCCTAGAGATCCCCAGAGACTCTCCCACCCAATTTACTGGCCCATCCAAGCTGCTTTTCTACATGAATAGCTGGTCTTGGCTCATGCCTCACAACTTCCTAAATCATATCAAACAAGTGACAACTGGCCTCAGTGAGCCCCAGGCTGGCACTAGCAGTAGCCAACCTAGATTCACAGCTTGGCTTTGCCTAGGAATCTCCAAGACCATTCAAGTAGCAGCCTTCTCAGATTGCTTTACAGCTCAGCAGGATGGCCCCTCTCCTGACCTTGGCCTGCTCCACCAAGGAAACCCCAGAGCCAGCACACCCGGTGGACAGCTACAGACCATGCTGGACAGGCACCACCACCCTGCCCCTGCACAGCTGATCCTCTGTGGAGAGTGGAGGTTGGTGGTAAGCGGTCACAGGCAATCCTTGCAGCTGAATGGCCTTGGTAAATCCCTCCCATTGTTCTGCCAACAGCAACCAAGGCTCAACGACAAGAGGAGGGTGTACTCAGCACACACGAAGGGTGCAACTCGAACACACAGCTTGGGTGATAGGGGAGGCTGTGCCACTGGACCCTACAGGACACCTACTACATTAGGCCACGTTACCAAAACATGGAGTCAAAGCAGTTCTGCCTAATACATAGAAACAAATACAGGGAGGCTGTCAAAACAAGGAGACAAAGAAACATGGCCCAAGTGAAAGAACAGATCAAAACTCCAGAAAGAGCTAAATGAAATGGAGATAAACAATCTATCAGATGCAGAGTTCAAAACAATGGTTATAAGGATGTTCAAGGAATTTAGTGAGGATCTCAGCGGCATAAAAAAGATCCAGTAAGAAAAGAAGGATTCACTAATTGAAATAAAGAACAATTTACAGGGAAACATCAGTAGAGTGAATGAAAAGCCAAGAATCAAATCAATGATTTGAAACATAAGGAAGCAAAAAGCAACCAATCAGAATAACAAAAAGAAAAAAGAATCAAAAAAAAAATAGGTGTAGTTTAAGCAGCCTCTGGGACAGCTTCATGTGTTCTAACATTTGCATCATAGGGGTCTAGAAGGAGACCCCTATGATATGAAGAGCAAGAAACTAGAAATCTATTTGAAAAAATAATGAAAGAAAATTTCCCTAATTTGGTGAAGGAAACAGACATGCAGGTTCAGGAAAACACTGAGAGTCGCAAACAAGATGGATTCAAAGAGGTCCACTCTAGGGCACATCAAAATTAAGATGCCAAAGGTTAAGTATAAAGAGAGAATCTTAAAAGCAGCAAGAGAAAAGCAGTTAGTTACCTATAGGTGAGTTCCCATAAGCCTGTCAACTGATTTCTAAAAAGAAACTTTGCAGGCTAAGAGGGATTGGCAAGAAATATTCAAAGTCATGAAAAGAAGAGACCTATAGCCAAGACTGCTCTACCCAGCAAAGCTATCATTTAGAATTGGACAGATAAAAGAGCTTCACAAACAAGAAAGAACTAAAGAAGTTCATCATCACCAAGCCATTATTATATGAAATGTTAAAGGGACTTATTTAAGAAAAAGAAGTAGGTCAAAAC